CTTCCGGGAGCACAGAAGGCTCAGGAGCATATCCGAAATGCTTGTACACCAGTGCACGCAGTGTGAGAAACAAACAGGATGAACTGGAAGCCTTGGTCCATTCCCAGAGCTACAATAGCATTTGTATTAGTGAGACTTGGTGGAATGAGTCCCAGGATTGTAGTGCTGTGTTCAGCTCTGAGGCCCCCAACATATGAAGGACATGGAGCTGTTGGAGTGGGTCCAGAGGAGGGCCACGAAGATGATGCGAGGGCTGGAGCACCTCTGCTATGAAGACAGGCTGAGAGAGTTAGGGCTTTTCAGCCTGAAGAAGTCTCTGGGAAAATCTTATAGCAGCCTTCCAGTACCTAAAGGGGGCCTATAGGAAAGCTGGAGAGGGGCTTTTTACAAGGGCGTGTGGGCAAGGGGCAATGGCTTTAAACTGAAAGAGGGTAGATTTAGATTGGATCTAAGGAAGAAGTTTTTTACGATGAGAGGGGTGAGGCACTGGAACAGATTGCATAGGGAAGTTGTGGATGCCCCAGCCCTAGAGGTGTTCAAGGTCAGGTTGGATGAGGCTTTGAGCAACCTGATCTGTGGAAGGTGTCCCTGCCCGTGGCAGGGTGGTTGGAGCTAGGTGATCTTTAAGGTCCCGTTTCCAACTCAAACCATTCTATGATTTGTAACTATTTAAAGGCTACTGTGCTTCTTTAAATTTTCCTCAGTGCAGCCTGTTTGAGTGTGCCAGATATTGGTGCTTGTACAAAGGAACTGGGACTACTGTCTGTAAAACAAGGTTTAGATCATTGATATTTTAATACTCGCATTGAAAGATGATAAAAACATAAAATTGTCTAGCAGTTTGCCAAAAATTGTCATGTATTTATGTCTAGAATTTGTTTGGAATGTTGAAGAGGATTTCAGGCCTGTTCCAGATACTTGGATTCCAGCAAAGGACATAGAGTTCTCTAATGGCAATCCTTTGCCCGATGAAAATGGACATATGCCAGGTACCTGTGATGCAGCACAGGTAAAATGGTGGTGGGGATCCATTTTTGAAGCAAATTAGAGTTACTTCCAGAGTTACAGGTAGTAGTTAACGTATGCAGAAGACAATTTGAATGTCATTCATTGGCTATCCAGAAAGGCTTTGTTCTTCTGACGTGTTGGAAATATTTGCAGTTTGCTCTGCAGACTTACAGGCCTTCAGCTGCAGGCACAGTTGTCACATTTGCGTTCCTCTGACATTGCTCTCGGATATGACACCGTATTTTCGTCTTACTCTTTCTGTTTGTAGTTAACTGTGGGGTCTTTTAGTGCATGTGCAGCTCTAGTATTTGTATGGTAACTTCAGATACTCGCGGTGGTAAAATGCAGTGTTTCCCCCTAGGTTGGGTGCCTGTGGAGAAAAACAGTAAGCAGTATTGCTGGCATTCATCCGTCGTCAGTTACGAGGCCGAAATAGCGCTGGTGCTGAAACACCACGCTGAGCCGGGGCTTCTGGAAATCAGTCCGGTGCCGTTATCGGAAATCTTAGAACAAACATTGGAGCTGATTGGGACAAATATTAATGCAAATCCGTATGGTAAGTTTGTATGGCCTGTTCTTAAATACTTCTCTAATTAGTGATATTTTTGAGTGCATTTCTTATGTGTAAGTTTAAAAAAAAAAGTTCTAAAGTAGCAGCATAACCTTTTTAGAAAGAAGAGGAAGGGCTAGCTCCAAGAACACTCGCCCAAAAATACTCACCTCAGAAATCTGAGTTGTCATGTGACTATTTATGTCTATTAAACCTCTTTCCACTTGCAAGTTCTTCAGGAGTTAATATAAAAAAGCTTTGCTGTATTATTTCAAAAAATATTCTGACTGGAAAAGTTGTTTTAAATATTACTAGTAAAATATTTTTCAAGATTGTTGGTGCCTTTTCCTGACATTTATTTTTAATTGCTCTTCTGATGCTGTTTAGTGTGTTAAAGTAGAAAATTTTTTTCAGACACTTTCTTTTTGAATCCTTAGAGTTATAAGTTACAATTTTACAATTATGAAATATTATGAATACGTTTTTAAGGAAATGTAATTTAAGCTAAATTTTGGTTGTGGCTTCTCCCCTTAAAAGCCTTATAACAAAAAACACTTGAGTATGGAGCACAAGTGAGTTCTAACTTCTGAGCTTTGCTGTGGGATAACTTGCAAGGATGGATAGGACAAATAGTAGTACTCGGTCGAAGCATTTTCTCAGAATGTGAAGGAACTGCAACAAACGTTTCCAATAGCTGTTTTCTTAGACGAGATTCATGTTGAACGGTCAGTGAAGACGCGATGCGTTTGTTAACAGCCTGGTTTAAGTATTAATCTATATTCATAAGAAAATGTGCCAGATTTTCAGGAACTATGTGCTGTTGATCATAATCTGAAGCATGAAGACTTCAGCTCATGGCTTTATGGTAACTGAGGAAGTGGCCACAAGCAAAAAGCAGACAACTATCTAAATCTCTGTCATGCTTATTTTATATAAACAAAAAGTTACGTGAGGAGGGGAGTGCTACGTGTGATACTAAAAAGTATATTTAACTGTTCTCTTAAAGGGAGGACAATGCTGTAATACCTAAAAGAAGTCAACCTTTTATAGAGTGCTTTTAAGATAAGTGTAATAACTTAAGATTTTCCTCACTTTTCTTATCACATGTAACTAGCAGGAGGATTTTTGTTTGTTTTAACATAGGATTAGGAAGCAAGAAGCAGCCTGTACATCTTCTTGTACCACATGGAGCATTTGAAATAAAGAATCCACCTACTTTGAATCAAAATGACATATTGTCTTGGTTTGAAGGCTGTAGTGAGGGTAAAGTTGAAGGAATTGTGTGGCACTGCCATGATGGGTGTTTAATCAAGGTAAATACACAGATGGACATGTGCAAAGCACTATAATAATTCAGAATACATGAAGTATTGTGAGGTGTTAACTTTTTGTGTCTTGTTTTCCAAATGCTTTAGTAGTAAATGTTCTCCTAGCAAATCGGGTGGCAGTAGAATTAGTCAAGCCAGTGAATCTCTACAATGACAACATACTGAACTTTTTCATGATCTACATTAAGCTAATAAAGTAGTGGAGAACATAAAATAATATTTTCTTGCCCCTCTGTATAGGAATCACTCACCATTTTAAAGCTTAATTTGTTAATTAAAAAAATTAATTTCTTGTAATTTTGACTTACAGAACAAGTATTGTTAATAAGATTATTTTTTTTTAATTATTAATTAGCAAGTTTATAGTATTTCTGAAACTGTGGAGGACACCTTGGTTCTGGTTTGCCTTTCTTTGTCACTCATGTTATTCAGATAACTGATTAATGGCTGTAAGTGCCCTAATGCAGAGGATTCTAGAATTAAAGCACACACACCCACCCCCCCCCAAGTTAGGAACTGTTGGGATACTATATGAAAATCTCTGAACTATCTTATTTCTTTTTATTTTAGCTCCATCGCCATCATCTTGGTTTACGCTGGCCCCTTGCAGAGACACACCTGAATTCTCAGCCTGTTGTGATTTCTTTTAATAGAACAAAGTATGACTGTGACTTTGAACCAAAGAGTTTGTTCTACCATTTTTCAAACTTGGATGGTCAAAGATTTGACACACTCAAAGATATCAAGTTTGATGCTTGAAATGATTTTTCTCTTTTAAGGTAGTTGTCATATGTGCAGCATTCCTCTTCCTTGTGTCTACCACAGAACTCGTTACAAATAATCTTCCATCTTAGGCAGCAGCCTAGGTACCGCACAATTTTAAGTTTTTCCTAAATGACTGCTTTATATAACGAGAGATCCGACACCCAGAGCAGAGATCTAGCATGTTTATTGTCAGTTCTGAAAAATCCTTAACTTTTGAGCCCATTTCTGGAAACTGTTTTAACTAAGCGTAAGAAGTATCTTGTCTGACACTGGCTGGTCCTAATAGCTTAGCTAATGAATGCAATCAACTGTAAAATTTCCATAGGTTGCACTTCTATAAATATAATGACACTGTTATATGTAGGATTCAGATTTAGGATCTAGTTGTTTCTTAACAGTAACAGACATATTTCAAGTGGGACCAGAATTAGTCCTGAAATATGATAATTTGTTTTAAAGTAGTAACAATTTATTTTTGGGGAAAACTTTTCACTGTTGTTTAACTGGTAAGCTGCAGCATTATGCTATTACTTGAAAACATAATTTAGCTATATCCTACAGCTACTTCCACTGTTTTAAGACAAAAAGGTATAGTAGTTTAATTACTCAGGATCTCCAAAATATGAGAGATATTGGCTTAGTAATACTGATTTTCAGACTGCATCTCAGTTAGGAAACCTCATGAAGGGCATACCAAATAAGATGGCATATAAATAATAAAGGTGAGAAAGCATGATCGTTTGAGTTTGCTTTATTTTATCTGTGCTATACGAGTATACATCCAGCTATATAAAATATACAAAATGAAAAATCATTTATCTACAAAAATACCACTAGTTCGGCTGAAAAACGGTAACTTGATTTTAAATTCTTTGTTCAATTATTTAAATTCTTTATTTTCAATTCTTCCTAAAATTGAGATAAAACCAACCACAGATGTAAGAACAGACATCCAGCACACTGACCCTGAGTCCACAGTCTGTACAATACTACCAGACAGCAAGGCCAAATTACATATTCTTACTGACCTGGAACTTAGCATACTTAGCACACTTTAAGAGTTTCTCATCTTCACCTGATGCCTGCATATTACCCAAATTACTGTTCTGAATTAAAATACTATATTGCAAAGGAGTGGGAGAGGTAAAACTCACTTTTATTTGACTGGTGTATATAAATACTGATCATAATCTGTTGACTAATCCAATTCTGCATTCTTAGGTCTACAAACTATTGTAACTTTAATAGACTTGTATCATTCCAAGATAAAAACAGACAAATAAATCAGTATTATGTAACTCCCCTGGAATTTATTTTCTGTATCAATATTGAGGATACTAAACATGAGCCTAATCAACAGAAACATTGCCTGGACTATCCACTTGAATGCCAAACTCTTCAGAAAGCTGCTTTAATCTCTCTTCTAAGATAATATTTTTTTTTACTTCTTCGTTGTAGTTATATTTCAGATCTTCAATTTCTTCAAAAAAGGAAGGGTCAAAGTTTTCTAGTTCTCTTCTCAGTTTTTTTGTTTCATCCTGTTGAAAAGAATGAAGGAGTACCACCTTTATCCAGAACTTAGGAAATACACATCAACAGCTTTTTTTTTTTTTCTTAAGAGGCTAAACGATGACAGAATAAGCATGTTCTCTAGAGACACAAAAATCTACCCACGAGCAGCACGTTCACTAACAACAAAATAGGCTTCCTAAAGATAATGCTTAGAAATCCATTTTGTCGTTGAATATTAGTTTAGATATTAAACAGCTCTTTCTAGCTAACCGTAATTTTGCTCATTATCTTGCCTAGAATGATCCTTGCAACTCACCTTTAATTGCTGTTTTTCCAACTCTGACGCTTTCAGCTGTGTCTGGAGGTCAGCTACTTCTGTCTTTAACTTGTCATTTTCATCCTTCTCTGCTGTTTCGTTATGTTCTGCAAAAATAGTGATAATTTGTTAGGAAATTTAAGGTAATGAAAATCAGTGACATGAATAATCCTGTTACAGTATCTGCATCTCCTGAAAGCTGAAACAGTTAAAGTGTAAACCCAACTGGGACCAACAACCACCGAAAATTTCAGGCCGGGTCACCTGGGCTTTTCTTTAGTTCTTGTACAAACTGGGTGGTGGGTCTAGTTCCGGTGACCGAGCAGCGCTCCAGTGGCCAATCTGTCAGCACACTTCTGAGAAATACGACGTGCAGTTTCTCCGAATTAAATGCAGGAAATTTGGGAATAACGTAGTATAAGGATCTTGTTAATTGTGCTCATAATTTCAAGAGGGTTAATTTTTACTTTTTTTCCCAATCATATGGCAATGTGCTGCTCTGTAGTGCTCTGCTTTTTCCCATGGATCTGATGCCTGCTAAGTCTTAAAACAGTCACAGAGCTGGTAGCTGGAAATAGACGCTCATTCTTTGGCAGCTTGGAATCCACGGCAAAAGGTTTAGGCAAGAGGGTGTCGAGGAATGACGGACAACTTAAAAGCAGTCTTTGAAGTTTAGAATGCAAACAGTGTTATGAAGTACACATCTTCTTAGAAAGGGAAATCTTACAAAGATTACAGCCTCTTGGTCAAGATAATTAATTATGGAGATTTTTACTAACATTTCTCTATAAAAAGCTTGTGTAATTACTCAAAAATCTAAGATCTTAGTCTGCTCTGGTTTACACTACTCTGGTATTAATATAATTCCGTAGATTTATTATCATTTTGCACACACATATTAAGTGAAAATGGGTTTAGGCCTGAAATACAGGAAGGTCTTAAAATATATTTTAAGTATTGAAAATGATTACCAGCTGCAGGATCTTCACCTGTATGTGTGTGTATGTGGTGCTTATAATCCTCCACCTGGTGAGCTAGTGCTGCTTTTTCTTTCTCTAATCGATCATTAGTTAATCTGGAATAAAAACAATTTTAGATTTTTTTAATTATTAAAATACTTTAGAATATAAAAAAATGTAACTGAAAACCACAATGGCCATTTCCCGATCATTCTTATTTCATGTATATTGGCTGAGGTATTTATTTAGTTATTTAAAAGTACATTACCTTAAAAGCTGAAGCTCCCTGATGAGGCTTTGTTCTGTCCTTGCACCTTCAGGGAAGTGTTTGAGAAGCTCAATCTTAAAAGAAAAATAAGAAAGTTTTACTCTGGAAAACAGTATCCATGGATAATGGAGTTCAGATGGAGTTCTCCTTGGCACAGGATTAAAAAATGAATGAATATAATACTAAGGATGTAATCAAGTACTAGGTTATCACAGAGAAAAAAAAAAAAGTCTTCATCTGCTGAAAGCTTCCACAAAGTGAATTATCTACAGCCTTTTTAAACTTAGTATAGATCATTGCTACATATTTCTTGAAGCATGAAGAAAAAACTATTCAAAGGTTAGATTTACATACTCATAGCTACATTACCATAATTTCTACGTATGCTTAAGGAAGTGAGATGCCTAAACCATTGAAGCGCTTAAAAAAATCTACTGATGTGCTTATTTGCGTTCCTATGTGTCCAAGTTCCTTTTTGAGCATAACACAAAAAGCCTGTGATTTTGCAGTGAAAACCCAAATGAGTGTCTGGTGACTCGAAGACCTGCAGTCGTACGTTAGAACAGGTCCCTCTAGAGCTGCCTTGCCGTAGAACATGTAGGAGCAAAAAGTTAGGGTTTTAAATATCAGACTATATACAGGTTTTGAATGCAGTGACAATTTATGAACTCTCGTAAGGATACTGATACTGATGGGCTTTGGTTCTGTTACTACCTAAAATGGTAAGGATTTGTTTTTTTTTCACAATCAATCTCTGTTTCTTTGGAATATAGTTAACCTTGACTATATCCCTTCATCTGCATTTGAGACACGAAAGAAACTGGAAAGTGTGTTGCTCCAGAGTAATACCGCATAATGAAAAAATTTTATCTCTGTTAATTGTGCTGCTGGTGTACACTTCCTGTTGAAAAGGGAAAACGAGCAAAAATTAATAAAATAATTGTTCTATAGGGCTCAGTTCCAGGTTCTGTTCATTGAACATTTATGTGTATGCGTACGTCATGTACATGACTTCCTATATTGAAAGGTGGGTGTTCAACAGGCTGCACTAAGCACGGCCAGTATGGATGCCTGGGAAGAAAGCCATGCACATGTTAATAAATGAGAAGATGGAAGCTAACCTAGGTGGATAGTCCTAGGGCTCCATCTCTGCAGTAGTTAAAGGCCAAAATTTGAGACATGTTTCCAAAGGCACCAGAGTTTAACATTCATCAACTCTGCCATTTGTGAAATAATATTTGTAGGACTTACTAGGGACTGTATTTAAAAGGCCATATTGGAAAACGGCATGAAGATCCCCTTTAGGCTGGCAAAGTCAATCCCCCAAAAAAGACCTGGAAGGAAAAGGGAAGTCTCTGCAGCTAACTCACTCTACAGAACAAGCTAGAAAGACTTTACCTACAGGCTTTCATGTGATGAATGAAACTACAATAAAAACACTCCTACAAAAGACTACAGTAGGAGAAAATTAATTTTCCCCTAAGACAGCAAGTCAAGAATATATATTGATAATATGTGGTAAACATCATTAATTGGCCAAAATATGTAAATGTACAATTATGGCAACTAGGACTGGAAAAACCTGTAACAGCATAGATTTAGAGAAAAAAGTGCACTCTGCCTATATAGACATTAGAAAGAAATTAACAAATATTAAGCAAACTGTTCTCAGAGCCATCTGGCTAAATTTTACTCACTTGTTCTTTGAGATCGTTTAAGTTTTTATCAGCATTGTGTTCACGTTCTGTTGCTTCCCGAAGCAGCCGTTTCAGGTCAGTAATGCTTTGGTCTTTTTTAGCAATATCCATTTCCATTTCCTTCATCTTAGTTTCATGCATCCTGGTAGTATTTTTATTAGAAAAAGATATGAGCAAAAGTTAATACTTTTGCAGAAATAGAGATTGAAATATCATTATGAGATTAAATGCCATAAAATACACTCTGAAATACGTTTGGGACATTGGCCTTGAAATAATCACTGGTCTTATAAATAAGTAAGCTGAAAGAAGCTTAATGAAAAATACATTCTTAATCTTAGAGTAAAGGCTTTTCCAAATGTTACACCTTTGTATCCACACTTTATTGAAGGAGTACTGGAATCTTTTTACGGTATTGCACATAAACCCTGAACTACCTTCTGCTAAAAACATGCACATCTCTCAGCAACACAGTGTGCACACTGGTCAGGTCTGTCTTACTGTCATACCTTTGACAGTATTTTTCTTATGATATAATAATTTATGGGAAATAAATTAATACAGATACACAAGATGAAGACTCCAAGGGCGAAAATGTTCTGCAAGAAATTATGTTTACCTTGGAGTAACAGCAGTCTGAGGAGGACTGCATTTTGCTTTGGGCCACAGAAGGCTACAAAAAGGTTTTTGCAGAATGATTGAAATGTTGGTTGGAAGGTACTTCTGGAGATCATGTAGTCCCACCTCCCATCTGAAGTGGGTTTTCAGATAGCAGCACAATCTCCAACATCTTGCTACCTGCCAAACCGCCTTTCAAAGGATCACTTGGTTGACAGCTTTGTCTGCCCTATCGAATACTTTATACTACCATGCACGTGCTTTGGAAGGGAGGATGTGCTGGTGAGGTGGATGGCATGTTAAGGTGCCCCAGTGAGCTCCTCTAGGTTAGTACAGTCTTCACGCTATTCACTTACTTGAAAAACATTAGCGTAAATGCAAATGAAAGTTTTTATTCACGCCACGCAAGTACAATTAAGCACAACCGTGTATTTTATAAATCTATCACCCATGTACGACTACCTGTCTAGATCAACTAAACAGAACTAAGCAGAAATGCTTTTCAGACGTGAAGAACTAAAAGAAAAACTACATTCCAACTCCTGAGCTGATACTGGCTGTTAAAGGCCTGACATCTCCACTGCATGCTCCTGTCCTCCTCCTCGTGTGGCTGGCGCCAGTTCTGCCCTCCTTCCTTACGCTGAACACGGCTGTCATCTGACCTTGCACAGAGGCACTTTACCTTACTACGGATTTAGGGGGAAGTTACCCCCCCTGCCCAAAAAAAAACCACAAAAAACCCAAACAAAACGGCTTTCTGAGGTCTCGGTGAAGCGGCTCAGCTGTATGTCAGAGAAGCACCAGAACTTCCCCAAGGGATCCTGTGGGAGTGCAAGGCTGGGATGTGGGTAAAATCTTGGACCTCAGCTGACAAGACTGTTCAGCAGTGATTTGACCTGAGAAGAAATCAGACAAGTCTCTCTCCTGTCCAGCTGATCTTCTGCCCTAATAAGGCTGCTGTCAGAGGTTCTGTTTTTGTAGATACCTTCCACCCCTGTTTACAACTATTAAAGAGTACTTTTGCAACACGTCATCTTATTTCATCCTGACATCATCCTGGAGTCCAGGACTACGTATTTTTTACCAAAAATTTGCTCTCTTCCATCCTTATGCAGGACACTGGCTGACTATTTCCCTCCTTTCCTTGTCCTTTTCTGAGATAACAGCAGTACAAGAGATGATATCCTATTAAAAACTCTTGCCTTAGGAGGAGTAAAGTTCTCCTTCCTCATCCACTTGGATGAATCGCAGGCATGTTTCACACAAATGTATCGTATATCAAACTTAATATTCTATATCAATCTGTTAATTACTAAACATGCCGGTGTGACATGTAACTAGCATCTTGGTGTGTGGCTCATCATCAAAAATGGGTGTAACAGTGATGCTTTTTAGACTGGCAACGGTTTTGGGGTGACTGTTTTGCCAAACTAATCTCTGTAAGCAAATCACAAAACACAGGACTAAACAGCTTGCTTCTAGCAAAGAAAGGAATGCACTTAAAGTTGTTCAGGCTGTAAAGTTAAGATCTCCAGCCTGTATAAGTAGGTTGTCATAGGAAAAGCATCTGAATTATTTGCAGAAGTACAGATAAATTAAAAATGTGTGCCTAAGTTGCAAAGCAGAAATTGGTGTCATAAAACTGTTTTCTTTAGTTTGTTCCATTTGAGTGATGCGAGTGATACCCGAATTTTAAAACAACTGATAGGTAACTTTCAGGTAACTTATTGGTAAAGACTTGTAGAGATTTACTATTTTTACCAAACCAAAAATTATTTTTGATGCTGATTTCAAAGTCTGAGTTTTATCTAAAAATCTAGAAATGGTGATTCCCACACTTGATTTTCTGTATTCGAAAAGAGAATCCAGTGCTAGTCTCTGACTTTTTTCTCCCTGATTCTACAGATAACAGAATCAACCAGCTGACTGCAATTAGCTTTCAGGGCCTTCGGAACACACATGCAGGATCTTCAGCTGTGCCTACATGGCCCAAGAAATATAGGAATCCCAGCTGGTTTTCTAACACAACCTCTGCACATTCACATGGTTAAATGTAGATTTAAATTTAGCCAAGGTGGAAAATGCAAGTTGCTTCCAGGGTTTTTTTCAGATAGTCATCTATGTGGTCAGGTACTGAAATACTTTGTCTGTTCCGCAAAAATGCTGATGTCATCCCACAAAGCACAAACACAAAATAAGTGGCAAGGAACACAAAATACTTTCTTTACTATCCAGAAGTCTAAGGCTGATCTGGAGAAGAGAGGTAAGTAAACTGGCTACTGCATAAAGCAGCTAACAAGGCCAGTACTTAAGGACACTGGATCTCTGCTGGATTCATATCAGAGACCTGTACACTGATTCTGTGTGCTGATGTAGAATCAGAAAATAAAATACAGATAATACAAAACTATCTTCAAAAGCAGGAAGAAAAATTATGAAAATGAAAGTCTAACTTTTTACTAATATTTAAAGAAGAATTAACACTTTTGTTTATCTTCCTACTTCATTCTCAATTCCTACCTTGTTACAACAATGGACTTCCAGCTTTTGTTGTCAGCTTCGTCAAATTGTCTCTCAGCCAAATTTAGCCTCTTAACGGTTTCCTCCAGCTGTACAGTTAACTTCTCATTTAATATTTCCAAGTTATTCTTCGCTATTCGTAGCTTCTCTGCACTGTCAGCTTCCTATTGTTCAATAAAACCAAAGGTTTATGGAATACTTCACCTCACATGAAGCACAGGGTTATCTAAAACGACGGTGAGACAGGCTCAGTGCTGATCTAGAGGAAAAACGGTGCATCCAAGTTCACTGACATGATAACTCCCAAACCGTGTCTTGGGCTGCTCCTTGAATGTCTTCTCTTCACGTATAACTAAAAATTCTGTCATAGCAACATCAGTGCTTAGAAAGCTGCCCATTCCCTATCAACCATTTTAAAAAAAAAAAAAAAAAGAGATACTTATCACAACCATTAACTAATGGAAACAACGATCATACCTTTTTCAGCTCTTTACGCAGCCTCTCGTTTTCAGTAATGACTTTTTCCATTCCTTTGGTTTTAGATTCATAATGCGTACTCAGCTGGCTCCCCAGATGAAGTTTCATTTTTTCCATTTCAGACTAAATATCAAACAGTTTGTTAGAACACATATACATTGCTTAGCAGAAAATTTCAGATTTCCATTTTTAAAGTACATCATAGTTACAGCTACCTAGCAGGGCGAACATAACATTTCATCACATATTTAAATATATCCTTAAGGTACAGAGTACCTTTACATAAATCATGCAGTATGTTATGCTAAAAAGAAGTTTTGCTTTTTTATTCTACCTGTTTCATATTTGGTATCTTTAAAACACTTTTGTGCTAATCAACGTCAACAACAGACTTGCTGCTCCATTTTCCTGCTAACTTGCATATAAATTGCTATCTAAATACAGTTACTGGAGAGAAATCCATACCTTTAGCCTCTCATTTTCCTGTTCAAGACCAAGTAATTTCTCATTAGAAACCACAGCTGGAGCTTTTTTCAGATCTTCATTTTCTCTTTGGACTCTCTCCACAACCTTTTTCATCAAACCAATTGTTTTTTCCAATTCTGGGACTGTCTTTCCACTTCTACCAGCCTACAGTGAGGGAAGAAAAAAAAAAGTAAAAAAAGAAGCAAACAGTTCATCTTAACATTCTGAGATACTCCAAATCCTATTTTATTGCTCATTTTTCCACTGAAATTTATATTTATAAAAAAGATGTTATATTTTGGTGTGACTCAAACCCTAAAGTTTCTTGTATACTTAGCTCCCCAAAATGTCTAGTGATATATTCACCCCCAAAATCAACACATCAGCTCCTTCATTGACTGTGTTACCCAAGAAAGCTGCAGTTAGTCTCAAAATCTGCTGCACTTTATGACCTAAACTGAAACATTAGGAAAATGAATTGAAGTACTTTATTTTTTTAGCTTTTCTTGTAGAGCAATTCCCTGATCCAACAGACCATGCAATTACTTGAGTGTTAATACTATCTGAGGGAAAAAAAAAAAAAGGAATAGCTGAGAGCTTGAGGGAAGAAAAGGCGGCCCTTTTTTAGCAACCATACTTCTGCTGGATTAAAGTGACAGAAGTACTACATCTTAAAGCATGAGTAGATCTTATGCCTTTCTCAAGGCATATATTCTCCTTGCAGAATGATAAATAAATAAATAAATAACATCTAACATTCTAACTATATTATGCGTTTACATAAATACATTAAAATAATTTTCATTTTTAGGGCTGTAAATCTTATTTTTTGTACAAATACATTTCTGAAGATAAGTTTAATCCAAACAACAAAATAAGGCCATGATAGTTTGAATACTATTACTGTAGCTCTAGTCCTTCTAATGGTCCTATTAACTGAGTTTCGTTAGTTCATTAAGCACTTTGGCAGTAAAATAAACAAGTAAGAACAATTCTTCTCTGCCATTGGTTGATTTCAAATAATAAACATTTAATAAAACATTGCTTTTTTCTGTATTTCAGTTTCATTTAATTATGATGAAAAATGCTGTTATAATACTCACCCCTCTAATGCTTCCCAGCTTTCGTTCAACATCTGCTTTCTCTTTTTTCAGAAGTTCACACATTTCTTTTAAGTCACCTACTTGGTCCTAAAACCCAAAGTAATAAGCAACTTATTTAGATTTCAAATTGAGGTGAACAGTAACAAAATTACAGTTGTTTTACTTTCAAAAACATGAAGAGAACCATTTCCCATCGCAATGACATTTTTCATTTCTACCAGCTATTCAACCTTCTGATCTTCCATAAAACCATGAAAAACTTACAGTATGTACAGAAAAGATATCCATTTCTTTTTAAGCAATCCCCAAATCTGTGTTACGGTAAAGGGGACTAAGGGTAAAAAGATGTTACCTTTAGTCTTGGCAAATCTTTATTGGCCTGCTCTAGCTGGAATCTTAGCTCGACGTTTTCGGATGACAATCTTAAATTTTCCTTTAAAACCTCTTGTTGCCTTTGATATTGATCATCTGATCCTATTCCTGATGTCTTGAAAAAACGGAGGGGAAAAAAATTAAGTGGTAATCTACTAATCATTGTATCAGTTGTAGCTGATAAAGAGCAATAGAGAATTAGTATTTTTCACAGAAATAAAATGGATGACAGTTGTATCACCAGCTTTCATCTAATCTGCTCTGACTTTAGCTCCTCTTCTCACATTTTCTAAACTTGCTTAACCTTTAAGGGAAGTTTACAAATCAGTATAAACCAGTAAAAACTTTGTCAAATCAAAATTAACTCTCAAACTATCCGACAGAAATAAATCTCAAAGTCTAAAAGACAAAAAAGCTACTGAGTGTAGTAAGCTGTGACACTGTACCTGGGAACAGCATCTGATTTTAAGGACATGTTCTAGTATGTTTATTAAATAGTACATATGGCATAAGGAATTTCACTGAGGTTAAACAGATCACAGAGCAAGTCAGGAAGAGAAGTATACAACTCTAGCTCTCAGTCTGTTAGTTCCTACAATCTTAAGTCTTTATACAAAGAGGCTAGTAATTTCTATTACATAAAGAGTACATTGCATGCCTTATATTACCAACTCAAATCATAAGCATATGGTAATTTATTATGTCTGACTAGTAAAGAGTAAAACCTCTTGATATAATAATCAGGAGTTTTTACTTATGTAATTATGGAATTAACCATACGATCCATTAATTCATCACTAGTAACGATAGGAATAAAGTATTTGCTTCAATAAAGCATATTTTTTTCTTATCCTAAGTCTCTTAACGAGTGAAGGTCATCAACTAGCTGCATGTATCACTGGGATTATTTGTAAACTTTCTGGATCAAAATTTTAGAAGGGACAGTAGCTGACTTGTGAGCTGACATGCATGCCTATCATGGAAGTGTAAGGTTTGCTTTATGGACCACTTGGTGACTACTTCAATATCACGCAGACCATGCATACAAAACCACTGCATTATCAAGATCAAACTATTCTATTTCTACATCATTTATACAGAAGAAATGCTAGAGGACTGCTACAATATCAAACCTCGGGCACTTCACAAAATTCTGGGGTTGTTTCAACGCCCTCTGTACCACTTTGGTAAGTTTCATATTTATCCTCTGCAGTGTTTTGATTCATTTGATTATTCACATTTATTTTTTCTGCTTCATAGTCATTAGCTTGACTAGAAGGTTCCCCTGAATCAGATACAGAAGAAATGCTAGAGGACTGCTACAATATCAAACCTCGGGCACTTCACAAAATTCTGGGGTTGTTTCAACGCCCTCTGTACCACTTTGGTAAGTTTCATATTTATCCTCTGCAGTGTTTTGATTCATTTGATTATTCACATTTATTTTTTCTGCTTCATAGTCATTAGCTTGACTAGAAGGTTCCCCTGAATCAGACTGACTGCCGCTCATTCTGTCAGTATGACGTTTCTACACTTTTTTCTTCATCAACATTGCATTGCTTGAGCATTTCTTGCTTCCTCTCCTCTTCTTCAAACTCCTCATGAAGTTTTCCATTTTCAGGTTGGGTTATATTTTCTTCTTTTTCACTGCAGTTCTCTTCATCAGCTTCAGCCATATTTTTGTTTTTCGATCTTTCCCTAGAAATATCTGTGTCCTTGCATTTCTCACTATCTTCAGGATGCTGTTCAGGAGACACTTCTGTGCTTGCATCCACAGTAGCTTCATGGCCTTCATTATGCATGATGCATGTTTGCATGTCTGCTTCCTCATCTATTTCATTGCCATAAGTCATGCTATAATTAGTGTGAAGTTTGATTTCATCCCTATTTGAAATAGATTTCTTTTGAAAGGAATTCAAATGCTTTTGTTTACTGATAGCGATAGGAACAGACTTGGTCAGTTCAGTGTGGTCACATGTACTCTGATTCAAGATGAAGACAGAATGAAGCATGAAAGAAAAGCAGAAGATGGTAAAACAAAACAGGAAATAAACAAACCTAGAGTGTACTACTAAATCTATTTCTTGAAAGATAACCTAATAATGCAATATTTGCAATATAATGAACCTTGTAAAAACAAAACCACAACCAAACCACCTCAATATAACTGGAACGCAGCTCAGTATTTCCCCCAACTCTGTGTATCTCAAATTTTCAATCAATATGAAATATAAAAGTAGTCTCTCAGTTGCAGACTCACATATTAGAAAATACACATCCCTTATTTCTCCACATATGCTGGGATGGTGAATATTTCAGCTTCTACCTGTAGAACACAGAAACTCTTAAGTTTTGGGGTTTGGTTTTTTTTTGAGGTTTGTTTTGTTGTGTTTTTTAAAAACACTAAAAGCTGAGTATTTCATATCCTGTTCTAGAATACTATAATTTGAAATAAAACCAGCTACATGACACAGAACACCAAATGGAAAACAAATACTTTTGTTAAGTAGGTGCAATTCCTCTGGGTAATATGGTTACGTTATTAACTTACCGAGGGTCTAGAATACATCTCTCTCGAACATTGTCTCTGCAATGCATGAAGCTTTTCCTGGAGGTATTGATTTTTGAAATGTAATTCTTCCACAACAGAATCTCGTGGGATTGCTTGTTGTGTTCTACATAAAAAAAATGAATCAAGCCAAAACAAACAAACGGCTATTAATGCAGAAAAACATCCTTTAAGGTAAAAATCCCACGAACTTCTGGATTACTAGACTGGATTTTCTAGTATTACTAGACTAGTTACTCTAAATCAATGCTAGTCATTCAGACTATTTCAACTAATCCCCATGAATCCAAAGAAACTACTTCAGCAAAAGGAATTTGCTCTTCTGTACTCTTCTGAGTACACTATCCACTGTGACAGTGGATACACTGATTAAGAACACACTCCCCAACTGCAACTTAGCAGTTTCAGTAACATTCACCAACGCTAAATTATAATAATTTTACACAATAGGAGCCAGATGTTTTCCATATTATTATTTAGCTTTTTAGAATAATAAACCAATGCTGCGTATTCTCTGAATATGCACAATTACTCCTGAGTAGCTTTAAGTTTGCTCATACAGATTCAAAGAAGGATTTTGAAATTCCTGTCTATTTTTTTCCTCTTGAATAAGTTGGTCTAATAGAGACTCTCTCTCCCTTTCCACAGACTTTTTTTCTCATTTAGATCTTTTTAGTTTTTATAGATTCCTTTAAAATGCCTCTCACCTCATGTAAGCAACTTCATTTTCTAAATCTAGATTCCGTTTTCTTAGTTCTTCCAGTTCTTTTTCAGTCTCTGAGGCTCTTATTCCAATAACACGATCAACAGTGATCCCAGTAGTTTTCAGTTTCTTCTGCAGAGCAATTTTCTCTTTTTCAGTCCTGCAACATCCAGTAAATTTACATTTAAATCTTTATTTGCTAACTTGCTTTCTTTAGGAGAAAATATTTTCTGTCTTAAAGAATCCACATTTGCAATTTATTTGCTCTCTGAACCACATCCCCTTTTCTGTTTAATAAGGTTACCTTACAGACAGTACAGCTTTTCAAAAAAAAACCAACTCCAAAATCAAAAACCAAACCTGGAAAAAACAATGAACGCGTTAAGTCAGTATCATGCATGTCATAAACCACTTGCTGGTCTTGCCTGTGTTTTATGTGAAATTCATACAGGGCTTCCTAATTTTGAAGCCATTTCAAACCACAATCTGACAACAGCTACAACCGTCATCCCAGCTTCCTCTCCATCAGTAAAAGCCTGCCATTACTGTACTGAAGCAAACAGAACACTTGCAGAGGGTTTGCACATGTGTTTTCTTTAAAAGGCTTCCATCTCCTAATCCTAGAACCATCAGTACTGCAGTAGCACTACATGTAACGGCAGCACAGATTCCAGTCCTAGCGATCTGATTAAATAACACAGCGGTGAGACGCAGCCTGTCTTCATAAAGCTGTTACTTGTTTCAAGGGCGTAACAGAATGCTATATACAAGCATAGCAAAAGACTTAAATTAGTTTTATTCAGAGACATTTTCTTCTAAAAAGGGTTGTTGGCTTTTACAAGGGAAAGGATCCTAGAGGAGTAGCCTGCTACTTGAAAATTAACTAATCCTTTTAATCTCAATAGTGATGTCAAATTCTAGACATCCATCTTATAAATGTAACAAAACTGTTATAATTATTATGTGGCAAATATCGTTGGATTCCCCTTACGTCATCATTTTGTAGCTGAATCTATTAAAAACCAACTCACTTGGTATAAATTTCCTTCAATGTATTCAACTGTTTGGCTAAAGCATCTGCTTCTTTTTCCTTTTCCCTTAGTTTGTTTCTCAATCCTTCCATTCTGATTTGCCACTTTTTACTTTCTTCCCATCTAATCATTTCCTCCTTGGAAATCTGTGAAGCACATAAACAAACTACGTATTTATTTTTGATTATTTTTCTTGAAGTAAATAAGCAAACATGCTAGAAACTTAAGTATGATATATTCTTCATTTATCAATTCAAAGCACGAAGCCATAGTAGGCATATATTATGTACCTCATTCACCATAAGGTAAATAGCAGGCCCAGCTGGTATGCCGTAGTGACTGGTATATAAAGCTGATGCAGTTTAATGCTATTCCCAAATTCGTCCTTAGTTTTTAATATTCATGTTACAAAAAAGGAGTGACACGTTTTATGAAATACGAGGTGCTAGCTCAATGTATCCTTTCACTTTGAATTACATGGTAGTAAAGAAGACAGATTAAAGAAAAAGAAGTGTTTTCTATGTCAGTTTACAACACATCTGTCTTCTGCAGCTCCCCAGGAGTTTATATGCCCCTGCTGCACAGCTGTACAATTGGTCATTTTAGTTTATCTTTTCCTATGAGAAATGGGATCTCTACTTACAAGTTACAATTTGGTAACTATAAATTATACAGCAGTGAAAACTTGTAACTATGTAATCACAAATGGCTACTGAAAAATCACAATCAATATTCCTGTAAGCAATTTTTTAATTTTTAAATTGGACTTTTTCCTTCTCCAGTTAGCCCCTGTACTTTCTTCTCCAACTTCATTCTAAATAGTTACTGCTACTAAGGGACAGGAAGAAACCGAAATCTTTCCAAAAGGAAGAAACATGCCAAGTTTGAGAAAAATATCTCTAGACACTAAGCAACAGGTATTTAAAAAGTCTCAAATTAGAAGCATAAGTGGAGTCCTAGAATAATACTTATGATCATGAATAGCCTGAATGTCATTATACAAGCATACTATAATATTCCAGGAGAGTGGAACTGCCTAGACCTAGGCTGATGATGTCTTCCAAAGCCACGATCTAAATACCACATACCTTGTCTTCTATTACACCTTTTTTTTCCGTTTCTTCATGCTTCTTCGCAAGTTCACTTTCCAACATTTTAATTTTTTTCTGAAGTGCATCTATCAGATTTTGTTCATCAGCTTTGCTCTGAAAAATTACAAACTGAATAATTAGCAGCAAGTAGCTGAATTAAAAAAAAATAAAATTAGACAATTCTACTGTAAATCCTTTATTTATTCCCCCTTCTGAAAGGGGAAATAAGGACAGCTGGGAAAATCACAAAATTTCCTTATACAAAGAAGCTTTGAAAGTGGAAATTCAACTCCTCAGACTCTTTCAAACATATTTCAAGAAGCAAGTAGCTTTCAGTCTCTTCCTTTTATTTGAGGCATGCTTCCAACAGCAAAAACTAATACCTCATGTGTAGTCCAGCTGACGAGCAAACATAAATTTTTAAATCGTGTCTCAATGCCTGCCAAAAGTACTTAATCTTTTCCCCCAAAACAAGCACATCTATGCAGAAACTTGACTAAGATTGAACATTTTTAAAAAGAACTTCTACCTGAATGCTACTGCTTAACCTCTTAATCCGTTTCTTCAGTTCTTCATTTTCTTTTTCAATTTCATTTTTTTCTTTCAACATTTTAGCAAACGCTTTTTGTTTCCTCTGAAGTTCTTGGTTCAACTCATCCCTTTCATCGGACAACGAACTTTCCCTGGTTTTACTTATTTTAAGGTTATCTGTAAGGTTTGTAATCTGATTATTTAATTCCTCTATCTGCGTCTAGAAGAAAACAAACAAACAACAAACCAACCAACCCAGCAAACCTCCAAAATCAGGATTATCAACAGTAGACCAATGCAATTCAATGATATTATCTAATACTCACCATAAGCCCCTTTGTTTGTCTGTCAACAATTTCCTGGACATTCATATACGCCTCTTTTTGCGAAGCAGCAGAAATAATCTGCTGTTCAGCATTAGCAGTCATTTCTGCTCGGAGCTCCAAAAGTGCTTTACTCAAAGCCTGAAAATAATAAATTAAACTTATTTCTAGTGAAGAAGCTGCTAATATGAACATTACAAAACAAGAAAAGGCAATTATATTTTATTATGCTACATCATGCAATTATATTCTACCTCCTGCTGTACTATACATAGAATTCTTAAGCAATAAGCAACATCAAACATGCATGTGACATAGGGATTAATTTTTGTACTAACTTTCTGCTGCTTCTCTTTTAAGGCTAACTGGCTCTTCAACTGTTCCACCAAGTTTTTCAATGTTGTTGTGGGTGCTCTACTATTTGCTTCTTTTTGGACCTCTAGTTCAGCTTTTACACTTGCTAATTTCTGCTCCATCTGAGATAACGTGTTCCTCAATTCATTGGCTTCATCTTTTAGTTGTCCTACATCAACTGTGTGCTTTTCCTGAAGTCTAACAAAAAATAAGCATTACTAGGGTACACTGCAATAATTAAGTTAAACTCCAAACAAATGACAAAGGGCACAATGTTATGGTTTTTATTGTTAAAGCAAATGACACATAGGTTTGGAAATAGCAGAAAAAGACTGACTCAGGAAAGAAGGCCTCCATTTACTAAGAAAATTACTCAAAACGAACAGCAAAATGAGATTAGAGCATTGTCCATTTTAATTCCTGGCCCTAACAGGTAAAGAAAGCATCATGCTTTTCTCCTTTTAAACAGGAGTTAAATTTTCCTGAGTTTAAACTTCTTAGGTAGCAAGCCCAAAAGCATTATCGGGGAAAAAAAACCCAAAACCACAAATCAGCAAGTATCACAGTAGCTTAAAGATAACTTTCATACCAAGATTCCTTGAAAACTTTCTTTTTCACTGAATGGCACAAAGCTAACCACTGAAAGGCATTTTTCCAAGCCACAGTTTTTCAGTATTAGTCCTGATGAAGGGCTACAGATTAGAAATAATTTACAATTACCAACCATGTTAACTCTTTTGAGTTAGTTTTTTCAGACAAATCTGAAATTTGATAGACCAGTCCTGACTTGATCCAATCCAATTGCGACTTATGTGAACAAACTGAAAACTTACTGGGCTGTGATAGTCTCAAACTCTTTGATTTTCATTAAAGTAATTTGTTTTTGTTTCTCCAAATCAGATGACGTTTTCTTTAATTTTCCAACAAGTGAAGCAAGAGAATTATCCTGTTCTGCTACAGTTTGCTCCATTTCAGCTAAGCGGAGAAGATGTTTGTTGTTGGAAAGTGATAAAGAAGTCTTTTTCACTAGCTCCTGTAAAACAGAACAAATGCATGTGATAAACATTTTAAGCTTTAAATCAAAGGTAAGCATTACTGACACATTTTAAACTCAATCCTGAATATAACCAAGCATTAGCATCTAACATGTTTATTTACCGAGATGTGACTCTCGGTCCACAGAGAAAGCAGTCACGCTAGTTTTGAAACGAGCTTTGTGCATCTTATGATCCACAGAATAACCATTTAAATACAGGTTTCAACTTATCATAAAAGTGTTAAGAGAAAATTTGTATTGAAATTATAAAATTATGTTAGTTTAACATAACAACAGACTGAATGAAAAGAAGAGGAAACAAAATATAACTGTCTCTCCTAGACATCTCCATAATCAGGATAATACAAAAAATGCTCATATGTACTGAGGTGGTTTTGATGACAAAACTGTTCATTTGAGCAACAATTTTAAAAATTTGGGAACAGCTTCACTAATCTCACAAACACACATAACTCACCAAAGCAGTCTGTTTGCACTTATTGAGGGAATTGTCATTATGTAAATCTAACTTCTGGTGTAGAACTCTTAGGTCTTCCTCATGCTTCTTTGCTAATTCCTCTTGTTCCTGTTAGTTCAAAATAAAAATATAACTCTACTGATGCACACTATTCCAGAAAGTAATGAAACTACAGTACCTTTATGTTGATTACTCACTCATTGCTCAGTATTTCTCCCCATATTTTCCTCTAATTCTGGCAGTTTTAAAAATTCTTTTCTTCTTGCTATAATTAAGGATTATTTTTTTTTTTTTTTGCCTTTTTAACACTACTGGAAAAAATCTACAATTGCAGTTTTAAGCTTTTGTAGCACGCAGTATGGTGAAACAGGACAGGAGCTGGCGAGCAAATCAGTTGGTGTTGGTCCTCACTAACTATGACTATCAACATGGATAGTGACATCCATACTATGTAGTTTTCAGGTCTGTTTACTTTGGACTATAGTGTGATCCCATGGATTGAATGGCTGCTAGCACGCACAGCACAGCAGGCTCACTTTTAGACTGCATCTTCTAGTCTAGTTCAAACAAAAAACTTGATTTCTCCCTGAACAGCTACATGTTAACCAAAGCACATTAAGTGAAGATCATAGCAAGTCTGCTTTGGAAATGTGCTCCTGATTCAAACACACTAAAACTGATGCCTGTTTAATCTTGAAGTACCTCTTAGACACAAGGTTTATGCTTTAAAATATGCTTTAAGGATATAGAGAATAAGGAATTCTTATGCTTAGATACACTGTTTATGCTTTAAAACATGCTTTAATTTAAAATATGCTTTAAGAAGCATATTTTCCATAAATGCATGTCTTTCCTGTACCTTCCAAATTCACTAGAAGAGGCAGCCCAGAGATCATTGTTGCAAGTACTGGAAAATCCTATATAAATATACAATATACTGAGACTACTTGTCACAGCAGAATTTTCATTTTCTTCCTGACACACTAATCCTAGGCAGACGTCACATACATAACCTCTTGACTGAGCAAGCCTCCTATTCTAAGAAGTTAAAAAATTTTACATGAAGTTTCTACATTAAAAATTGTCTCTGTTCTGTTACCTCTGAGGTCAGAAACTTTTTAAGATTTCACTAGCAATGAGATAAACAGAGAGCCAACTAAAACAACTTAAAAATGGAAGAAATTTTGTGCAAAAAGTTTAACTACCTCTCTTGCTTTAGCAAGCAAACGTTGGTATTTTTTTAACACTTCCTCCTTTTGATGTAATCTTGCTTGCATATTTGCAATGGTTTGATGAGCAATTTTTATGGTATGATGGTACTCTGGATCATCTTCTTGTTTGCCTAATTCGGCCGTTATTTTCTCTCTTTCTGATGTTGCAGGTAATCGAAGTCTTAGTTCATTTATAACTTTGTCCCTTGATAAAATATTTTGTTCAGCTTTCCACAGAGCAGTTTCGTTTTCTTTTAATTTCTACAATGAAAGATAATTACTGCATTTCCAGAACTCAAACAATGCAAAAAGGTCTTACTTTTTAAAACATGTACCAGAAAGATCATGTAAATGGACTTCTACACACAAAACTGTTTTGCACTTGATTCTGACTGTATGAGATTACTATTTGATGAAAAAAATCCTAGAATGCCAGTATGATGTCTTTATGTATTATTTGCGTGGAACAAGACACTTACGCAACTCAGTTTGTGCTACCAAATTAAGAAGCTGGTTTTCTCAAACTTCTTAAGAACCACAAAGTAACTTCTGTAACAGAATTTCAATTTAGCAACCCAAGATAAATGGATTTTGCTATGCTACTTATTAAATTTAATGTAACACTTGCTGAATTTAACTAGCTATAGTCAACTGAATTTTGTACAGCAAAAGCACCTTACACTACTAAATGAATGATCTAATATATTCAGAATTTTCCTCAATAGTTTTTTCCAATGGAAAAATATTTCATTTTAGTCTCAGTGCGATTATATTATTTACATTTTCTCTCGGTTAAATACTTCTAAGGGATTGGACACATGCGAGTGACATTTATAAAAGGATATTTATGATACAAAAAAAAAATTAATCGGCATAGAAATACAAACTTTGTCCCTTTATATGAAAATTCAAACATTTAATTACCTCCTCCAGTGATTTACAGGTTGCCCTAGTTTCCAGGATTGTTTGAATATGCTCCTGAATCTTTCTCAAAGCCAACTCAAGTTGTTGTGGGAGTGGCAAACTAGGGTCTGGAATTGATCCTGTAGCCTCTTCTACCTGCACAGAAAGATTCATATTCATGTAATCTGACAGCTCTGAAAAACGTGCTTATGAGTCTATTTCTCATTAATTCAGTGCACATACCTGTAGAGCTGTACTAAGTATTTCATTTTGTTGATGATCATATAGGTCTAATTGGCGCTGAAGTTCTACTTCCCTCTGATCCCAAGCCATTTGCCTTTCTTCATGAAACTGTAACAAATGTTTGATAAAGGTATTTTATTTATTGAAGGCAACAGAAATTTTAAAGTCAACTTTAACAGAAAAAAAAAAGAGATAACAAAATGTAAAACACTCAGATGTGCTATGAAAAAGAACTATGGAACCAAGATACAAACATCCATGTTAAAAACTTTTTAGGAAGAATCTTCCTTTTTAAAATCACTTAGTTACATAAGGAACAGGCTGTTTTTCTAATAGCATGCAGAAATACATACCTTGTTCTGCTGTACAATTTCTTCTTCCAGATTATTGATTGTATGTTCATATTCAGAAATTATATTACGCAAATACTTCACCTCTTCCTTTTGCTTGACTAACTCTCGATTGAGTTTAAGTTCCTGCAGATGGAGTTCCTCCATCTTCATATGCCACTCGATTACCTAATAATGAATGACATACAGTATTCTAATTTAACAAGCCCACAGACCAACTAGATGCAGCTACACTCTTTGTCTTTGAGGCAGCATGGCACTTATGAAACCAACAGGAAGAAAGACATTCTGCCTTTTTAAGCTTCTTCATTTCTCTTGAGGGACGACGCATGGCAAGAGTATGAAACTGCAAGAGGGATAACTGAAAAGTGCAGCAGACAACTGGAGAGGCAACAGGTTTCCCCTATACTGACAGAAATGCACTGTGAATAATTTTCAGATGACCTAACTAAGCTATGCATCTGTCCAGACTAAACAAAAAAAATCATGCAAGAAGTTTGGTTGACTTTTCTAAAACAGCAAAAGATTTTCAAAACCATTAAAAACTGTATGTATTCAAAAATGCACATGGACTAAGGATAACAGACATATTTATGTCAAAATCCTCTACAAAAATATTTGAAAACTGGCTTAAAACTACAACACGCCAAGAATATTACAACAATTGCTTACATGCAGGTATCTTTAGTCATACAGATATAACCTTATTATATAATACACAGTAATCTGGAAGAGAAGTGAGAAAGCCTTATTCAAATGTCAAGGCACATTGTTTACAATAGCAAAATATGATTAAGTAGAATTACATGAGAATAGCAACATTTCTGACCATGGTGCCTAAATTATTGCCCCTGGATTTATTTAAAAAGACATGCATTTGTAGTGAAGATTTCAATGCAAGCTCATGGAACAGAACTTCAGCATGCTACTCTCTTTAAATTAATCTAATTCATAATTTAATTCAATTCATAATTTAATTCAATTTAATGTAACAGAACTGAATTAATAGTTAGCCTCTACTTCCTATGTCACTTAATTGGGCACAAAAGAAAATGAGTCAATCTGACCGTGCTGACTTTTACAGGGCAACTAACTAATGAGGTATTACTTTTTTAAAATAGGAAAACAAAAAACGATAGCTGTCATATTCTACCAAAGTGTATTTTGGAATCGTTAAGTTCCACATTGAAATAGATGTTTAGGGAACAAGCTGAACTGAAATGTAATTTAAATACTGATCAGAAGAACAAAGCTATTCAAAGTTGTAAAACAGCAAACCTTTTGAGCTCCTCTTGTATCCTTCAACGCACTTATTAATTCTTCTAAACTTTTCAGTTTTAACTCCATCTCTAATGCTCTGTTTTCTGCATTTCGACGCTCCTGCTGGGCATGCTGAACTTCTTCCAGGACCTTCAGTTTGTCATTCTGTAGCTGAATCATTGTTTTAGAGAATTTTTCTTGCTGCGCTAAAGGCAGAGCACCACTAAACTGTCTCCGCAAAGACTGAACGGTCTGTTGTAGATGTTTGGCTCTATTTTTTCCTTCCAGTCGGGCAAAATATAAAGCTTGCTCTTTCTCATCAAGCTTCTGCTCTAAACGTAGATTACGGATCTCCATCTTCTGTAGTTTCAATTTAAGAGTCTCCAATTTGCCGACAGCAAAAGATTCATTACCTTGAAGGGCTATGATATGTTGATGCAGTTTTGCAATCACTGATTTTTCATCTGACTGTGCCTAAGAACAAAATTTATAGAAAAAATTTATTTTCATTTTAAATGTTAATGCAGTGTATACGTAAATATAAGCAAGCTCTTATTTTTTCCGTGTTATATATTGCATATATTTTATTCCATAAATAAGAGCAAGAATTAGCCTCTAAAAGCAGTTTTTTATTTTTCCACTATTGTTCTACAGACGTGCAGTACAAGTACACCTTTTCAGATACTCATCCTAAAAACTGTATCTTTCCAAAATACCAGGAAATGAGGAAGAAACGTATACTTAAACTTAGAAAATATGGTAATGTAAAAGCTGACACAAGTGTTGCATTTAGGGACTCAAACCACTGAAGAACATGAAAACAAATCCCAAGAAGTTGTTTTGGCTAACGACAAAGTAATATAATAATACTACTGCAAATATTCAAGATTTACAAGTTGTTGCTTGTCTTGTAAAAAATTACTTCCCTGACATTATATTTAAATATTGATCATAAGCTATTAATCATATAGGAATAAATATTACCTAAATTACATGGAAAAAAGCTCAGAATCTGTAATAGCTGTACAGCTAGAAATGGAAAAAACGGAGAAGGGAATAATTAATGTAATCTAGAACTCTTGAAAGAGTACGGCCACTATAAGGACCAGCTTGCTAAGATCCTTCTGAAATGCTTTTGCAGTTTCCTAATTCAGTGTAAAATTGCTTTATTTCTTCTCATGCCAGGGAAAAAAATCCAAACTGCAGCATTAATAAAGGTTGAATTTTACCTGATAGTCTAAAATTTGCATTCTAAGAGATTCCACTTCTTTATCTCTGTATTGCTGGCGTGCCTCCAGAGTTTCAACTTGCATTTTTGCTACATCAGACAGTTCTCTTAATCTTGCAGGAAAAACAAGAGTATTGTGTCACTTGAAACCACTGAATAACCCATTAAATTCTTCTACACAGAAGATGGTAAAAAAAGAACGCTTAATATGTTTCCTCATATTAAAACATTTGAAGACTTCGTTCTTTTCAGCATGTTCTTCTCTACTACTCGGAGTCCTTGTTATGACAGTTCTCCTGTCAACTTTTTCACAGGACATTTTCCTGTAAGTTATACAGAAGTTTGCTAGCAGTAACCTACTCCAGGAAAACAATGCCATGGTTTTTAATGGAACTAAGCATCTCCGTCCTCTATTTCTCTCTCACGTCAGAACATAAATGCTCAGAAAGTTTCATTCTCAATTCCTTTCTCTGCTTCTCCAAGTCTAATCACTCATTTTCAGCTTCAAAAATCACTGCAAATGTCCCCACAGACTTTGCTGTTTTAGGAATATAACAGGATTACATTATTTACTCCAACGAATGTTTATATCAACATATCTAAAAAGGTCAGTTTTTCAATTTATGCAAACAAAGTTAATCCCTTAAGTAAATGGCAAAAAAAAACCCCTACTGCAGTTTAATCTTCGAGACATCTATGACTCTTTGAAAGTAAGAATTGCTTTCCAATTTCTTTTATGAGATTTTCATATATTTAAGGGAGGTTGTGGCACAGGAGCAAAATAACCTTAATTAGTTTAAAAATACTAGTAATAAGTATCTAAGTGTACATTCACCCATGTCTATCCAGGCCAGCACTTCATTCTTTGTTCAAATCAAAATGAAGCAAATTACTTTCTTTACAGTCACAAATTAAATGGTTCAATTCCAAATTTGGCACATACAAATGCCAAAAAAATAGGCATTGAAAATTATCTGTTAGCAATACATAAGTAGTGTATTACATAAGTCTATATAGCGTAAATTTTTACATCCTTCCGAACATACTTCATTTGAGATTTGTTACTTCAACACTTACTTTGACACTTCAATCTTGAGCTCCATCTCACGCTTCTCTAGGTCCATGATGTGTCGTCTATCTGCATCACTTACTGCCTTACTCACACTCTTTGACAGTTCATCTCTTAATTCCTGTTCCACTTGCTGTGCCTCAAGGTTGATTTTGGTGAGCTTAAAAAAAACAAAACCAGAAACAAACAAAATCGTATCCTAAGCACGCAACTGCTCTTGCAAAGACAAAGCAGTGCCAAAAGTATCTTTTTTTTTTTAGCCATTACAACACACTGTTAAGCTGCGTTCAAAAAACAATTTCCTTTCCCTTCTGCTTAAATGTCTGTTTGTTCACTGCATTGCATACACATAGGAACAGATGCACAGGTCAGCACAGAACAGGATTCTAAATTAAATAAAATTTTGATTAGTGAATTTTCTTAAAACCATTGCCACAATAACTTTCTGTTAAAATAAAATAAGAAAAAACATAATAAGACTTTAAACACTTTAGGAAATTAACAGTATTACTTATATAATTATATACTGTCTAGTATATCAGGATGATTGTAACACAAATATAGGTTGTAAGTGCCAAGACTCACGACAGGGTAGTTCTTTTGTTCTTTCTAAAAGGAACTTTCATAATTAAGTGATATTCTGAAGCAGCCTGATATTTCAAGTTGATTATTAACTACTGAGTAACCAATGTTTCAATTCAAGCCAAAGAGCATTCAGAAAAGATACCTATCTGAAAAGCACTAAACAACACAGAGAAGCCTCAAGAATTAATTTAGTAAATACAGTTGCAACAAATTAATCTGACACCACTCCTTAATAAAATCACTGATTTCCTAAACAAACAAGGAGAGTGTGGTGTATCTTATTATCCACACTTCACATATTTGAGGCAGTACGATCTGGAAAACTAAGTCATGTTGAAGTAAATTTATGAGTTTAGAAGGAGATGTCTAGTAGACAACTTCTAGTTATCAGTTCTTAAACTGATATCACCTACAACTTTCATTATTACCTTAACACAACCTTGTTATATATATTTGTCTACATACACATCTTTATCTCTCTCTCTCTCTCAAAAAAAAGCAATGATGACAGATAAGGAGGCACAGACAACAGGAGCATATAAAACAGAAAATGTATGTCCTGGAGCTACAGAAACAAGGAAAAAAGGGATGCACAGAGGAATTAATAAGAAAAAAATTGTGGCATTAGGAGTTCATCAACTCAGAATGAAGGAAGACCAGCAGACCCAATGTATCGCAAGACAGATTATGATACATGCAAAAGAGAAAACGGAAAATGTGATCCTGGAGTGCATCACCTGAGGTACTTCTTAATGAAATGAAAAAAATCATGCCATCAGAAAGGCTTTAACAATACCGCTCCTGAAAAGCTTTATACACTTCCAGTTACTCCACGTCCCAAATTAATTCAAATCAAAACAGAGTAACAAAGACTGCTAAAACAACAGAGAAATTGTGAGTCAGATAACAGCAATCTAAAATTGCTAGGCTAAAGTCTAGCAAAGCCCACGGAGGGGGAATAAATACAATCTATCAACATTCCTGCCAACATATCTATTTTTTTTCTTGCCTTGTGTTTAAATTATAGGCCAATACTGGCACAAGAACAAATGTGTACAACCGCCTATAAGTAAGTTTAGACTGGAAATTATAATAGAGTCTCCTACTATTAAATACTGAATTTATGTATCAAACTTCAAATATGAAAAGTGGGGGCAAAAAGATCTAACAGGATTAAGACTGATATGACAGGAATAGTAAGAATCATTAGCTTCAATGGCACACGACTTCTCTTCTATTCCTGTATTATAGATAATGTTTGGCATGTGACAGAGGACATAGCCAGCCTGTAATAGAATCATGACACTATTATTTGCAAAAGGGATGCAAAGGTCTAAAATTTTTTGAATCATTGGTAATTAAGGGAAAATTAGCAGAAAAGGGATCATATGAATTAGATACAAGTAGTAACAGGTCAAGAACAGACTTTCTTCTAGCAGTCTGCTGAAAAACTAGTAAATCATCTGTCATGTGTTTTACAGAGATTAACTAAGGTTTGAAATAAACTACTGACAAATTAATTAATTGTATTTTTTACCAATGTCTTATGCATGAAAAATTGCAGCTCTTAAAGGCAACTATATTTTGCATGATAAGCTTATTTGCTAGTCGTGATACAAAGTAGATTAATACTTTTTGAAAAGCTCAAAAATATGCTTTTAAGATGTGTCAAATTATGTCATTAAATCTCAATAGATTTACCTCAGCAAATTTTGTTTCCAATTCAAAATTACGTTCTTCTATTTGCTTTACAGTTTTCCGTAAATGTTCATACATTTGTTGCGAATGTTCCGCTCTCTGTCTTTCATTTAGTTCCTTCATTTCCAACATTGTGATTTTCTTAGAAATGGACAAAATCTCAGTGTTGGTTATTGCTTTTGTGGCCTTGTCCATGGCATTGTCATCCCCTACATTAAAAAATATTTAGATTAGGGAATACACAAGCTGATTCAACTATGAAAATTATTCGCACCATGAAACAGAACATGAGCTTCGCTTTATCTCTGTCAAATAAACTTTACTGAAACATGTATATTACTTTTTTAAACTGGGGGCATGGTTGTCTTGCCTTATTACATTTTTGAAAAGTATGTAATCTGAATAAAATGCTATTATCAATTATAAATGGGCACATCTGCAACTATGATTATTGAGACTGATAGTTATTTTCAATGTAGTCTTTCACTTTAACCTTAATTCAGCTGGTAAATCTTCAGGACATTTTATTTAAAATCTGTAAAAGAAATAGATGTGGATGAGTTCTTCTTGAATAATGGGAATGTAAACTGTACACAAAGAAACCTCAGCTATGAAGAAAAAATACCTTGTTACAGAGCATGAAAACAGGAAAAAGAAATCATTTTCCTGACAATCTATGAAGCACTTTGACTGCCAATCAAGTTAGAACACATTGCACCTTATAAAATTAAAAAAAAAAATAAATAAAAAATCAGGTGATGTTGCTTTACAAGTTCCAGCTTTTAAACCCTTGACCCAGCAACCCAAGAAAAGTCCATGCGGAACAGCTTCCAGAGGAAAACACCAAACTTGGTTTTGGTTACATAGATAAGTAAAACGAAGTAAACATCACCACCAAAAAAAAAAGAAATCACACAAAAAAATGAAGACTGTTAATGAAAAATACAAAATAGTTTTCATTTTTTTTGTTGTTTTAAGATACATCACTTTTAAGATGTTTTAAAATGTGACTCTTACACAGAATACACCATTTGATTTTTAATGTTGCAATATAACTTTCATACTTGCCCAGTTTAGTCATCTGTTCCCAAGCCTGTTCTACAGTGTGAAGCTTCTCTTTCGTGATCTCCAGTTCCTTATTCAGCAAATTTATCTGTGCTTTCAAGGACTCATTCTCACGCTGTATGACAAAAAAATTGAAACATAACAGCCAACTATTTAACTGTAGCAGGCTTGATATTTAGTACCTATAAAATGATTGAAATTAACAGATTTTACCTACGCAAAACCCATAATCCACATATATTGCAACAGAAGAGCATGTTTCCTCCTAAGTACAAAAATGCTAGTCTTTGCTCTCTATGTTGTATCTTACTGTCAACTAGTATTACTGTAAATATTTATCATCGGTGACCGTGATTCCTAGAGTGTCTAGAATTAAATGAAGAAATCTATGTTTGTCATACTAAACACCTTATTAACAGCGGGAAAGAAATACTTCTGGAAGATATTTCATCCCACACAGGATACTTCATATTGCACATAAAAACATATTTGAGACAGATCATGCGCTTCTCTTAGTTCTTTTAGGCATCTAATGTGATGCCAAACATTAGTTTTGTAAATGTTACTTCACTTGTCCAAATAGAAACACAAATCTCCACGTTAACTAGTAAAACAAATGAAATAATTCATATTAATTTTCAATTTTTAGTTTTCTAAACATATTTTTAGTTTGCTATTGATAAAAGATTCTCTAGCTCTATGAAATTCCTGAAAAAGGCAATGCAAGTTTTCATACACAGAAAATTTCATAAAATAGAGAAAGAATCACTCATTCTTTAGCTAACACAAATACACCTACCTGTTCCCAAACAGACAAATTTAATAGTTCAGTAAATTTACCTACCTCACGTATTTAAGCCTTGTCAACCACAGAAACCCCACAGACAAGAACATGACATGCGCTGTAACTACTGGTTAAACTACTACTTTCTTGGACTATTATTTCTGACACAAATGAAAAGCGGGATGTAGCAACGTATCTTTGAAGCCAGCTTTGCAGTTCTTGACAAGAAGCCCCCTTCTACTTGAGAATAAAAGTTCAAAGGAATAATTACATATTTGCAGTGCCTATGACATTTTGCAAACACATTGTGAACAATCTTTGGTTATTTACTTTTTTCATGAACATTTCATTCTTGTAAAGCAGGAATTAGCTTTGAAAGTGTTTACACTCATTCTACTTTCCTTATGACCTCCAAAACTAAAGATGTTAGCAAATATTCTTCATGCCAGCCTTGTTCTGGTAATCAAAGAACTAAAAATACTTTGTGAGGGAACATACCCAGAGCTTAATTTAAAAAGCAAACAAATAAGTAAAAAAAACCAAACAAACAAACCCACCAAAACAATTAAACAAAATGCTTTTATGTATGCCCACTGAAATAAAATCTGGGACTTTGTGTATATTTCTTAATCCACCAAAATATACGAGGTTGTTGTGGTTCAACCACAGGTGGGAGCTAAGCACCACACAGCTGCTTGGTCTCTCCCCACAGGTATAATGGGGAGAGAATCAGAAGGGTAGAAGAGAGAAAACTCATGGGTTGAGACAAAGACAGTTTAATAGGTAAAGCAAAAGCTGTGCGCACAAGCAAAGGAAAATCACGAATTAATTTACTACTTCCCATCAGCAGGCCGATGTTCAGCCATCTCCAGGAAGGCAGGGCTCCATCATGTGTAACAGTTACTTCGGAAGACAAATGCCATCCCTCCAAACATAGAACCATAGAATGGTTTGAGTTGGAAGGGACCTTAAAGATCATCTAGTTCCAAGCCCCCTGCTATGGGCAGGGTCACTTCCCCCTAGATCAGGTTGCTCAAAGCCTCATCCAACCTGGCCTTGAACACTTCCAGGGATGGGGCATCCACAACTTCCCTGGGCAACCTGTTCTAGTGCTACACCACTCTCACAGTGAAGAATTTCTTCCTTAGATCTAATAGAAATCTATCCTCTTTCAGCTTAAATCCTCCCCTTCCTTCTTCTTTGCCCAGCTTTATATGCTGAGCATGACATCACATGGTATGGAATATCTCTTCGGTCAGTTGGAGTCAGCTGTCCCAGCTGTGTCCCATCCCAACTTCTTGTGCACCCTCAGCCTACTCGCCTGTGTGGTGGTGTGAGAAGCAGAAAAGGCCTTGATGCTTCGTGAGCACTGCTCAGCAATAACAAAAACATCCCTGTGTTATCAACACTGTTTCCAGCACAAATCCAAAATACAGCCTCATACTGGCTACTGTGAAGAAGATGAACTCTATCCTAGCCAAAATCAGCACACAGGTAAGCAAATTAAAATTTGATAGCACTGGTAAGACTGGCTCCAACATATCATACTCACTATGGAACTGTTACAGCCAGCAGTTTAGTGCTGGTTCTATCTTTCTATTAAGCGAGAACAAAAACCAATGCAGACAAATGCACGAGGTTTCCCCTTTGGGTTCAAACATAACGTAAACATTACCTCCATGTGCTCCATGTTCGAGGTCCGTTGGACGAGCGAGTTATCTTTTTGTAACATATCTCTGTATTTAGCAGTTAACGCATTATACTGCTTATTAGCCAGTTCTAGCTCAGACAATGGCACACTACCGTCCAACACTTTCTGCAGAGCCGCAATCTTAAAGCTAGCCATTTCCTGTGAAAGTAATCAACACCATGGATTACTAAGGTCTGCTAGATCCTTAAATGGAAAAAAAAAATTACTCTATAGAAAAAGAATATCACTTAATATAATACTTTATAGCATGATACTGGTTTATTTTATTAAACTACTGTTCGTCTTGTTAAATAGCTTGCAATAAACGTTGGCAAAATTTCTCTGACATTCCAACTCTCTGGGTAATCTTATCGATAGTTGCCTCTCAATCATAAGGCACTGTCAAAACATATTTTATAAAGCTGAGTTAATACAGGCCCTAGCAACCTGCAAGGCCAAAAAGTAAGATTCGGTTTCACATGACACTTTCGATAAAAAGAAATTGTTGAAGCGGCTTCAGAAGGAGAAAACTGACAGATTGCGTGTTATGATGCTTATTTAAACACAGATAATGTTTTGACAAAATTTATAGCAGCATTTAACAGGCATTTGGGAAACACATTCAAGAAACTTGTATGGCCTCCATTTAAAAAAAGTGTCTTAATTGCCAAATTGCAAAAAATAAAATGTATACTATTACTAATATAAACTATACCTTAAACCGTTGCAAGTTTCCAATCTTCCCAATCACTGCAGTCTCCATATGTGTTATTTCAGCCTTTAGTTTCTCATTTTCTTTTCTAAGATGACGTTCTGTTTCAAGTAAAGTGGTATACTGCCTTGTTAGCAACCTTTCATTAACTCGTAAAACAGTTATTTTTCTATTATTTTCTGCAAGTATTTTTTTTGTTTCATCAGGATCCAGCTGAAGTGCACTGAGTAAATTCTGTAAAATAATTTTTTTAAAAGAGCTTTGTACATTAATATGGTAAAACTCAATTACATACGCAAACGTTCTCGTACGTTTTTTAAATCTAGGTGTAAAAATTCTGTTAATCTGTCTGAAATAATTTCTTTTTGCTAATAAAACACATACACACACTCAACATGTGCCTAAGCATACAATATTCTATTATAAGAAAAGAAGAAATTTGAATCTTCAAAACTTTTGGTTTCTGAGGAACAAAAGCTAAATATACCCGACTTACTAATTTGAATTTTAGTTAATGCTGACATTTTCAACATTTAGAATGAAAATAATTCTCTGCATACATTGTCATCAGTCTTCCTTCTTTTTACTAGAATCAAAACAAATGTATTGGAACAATTTTCTAATCCAATTAGCATTCCTGTGGTTCCTAACGAACACTAATAACGTTCCACTTTGAGGACCAAACAAGTATTCATAAAGTAACCACAGACCCCTCCTATGGAAACATGCACGTGTTTGTGTGCACATGCGCACACAGACGTGTTTGCATGCATGCACAGATCGGGGTGGGGGGGGAAGACAGAGGGGAGAGGGAACTACAGCGACTCAGGTCGCCAAGGAGACAGGGAGTAGAAACTGGAGCTGTAAAATCACAGAGTCCTATGAGCCTAATGAAGAAGAGTGAGCAGGTAGCTTGAAAAAACTCCTGAGTCCTGGACACTTGAAGCCATGAAAAAAATCTAGTTCTGTGACAACTCGCAAAGATTCGGCTTTTCTGATCAAGAAGCCTGTTTTTCTTAAGATTTTAAGAGCAAAAACCACATTTTCGTTGATCATTTGCAGTGAATTAATTTCAGAGAAATGCTTAATCTGAAAATGCTCACCTAATTCTAATCAAAATTACATACTAACAAAAATAATAGCACTTGTTCCTTATCTTTGGATAGGATGTGTTTCTGGAAACAAAAGCTACTGAGAAACAGTAATTTCTTAAAGATCTCAGCAATACTTTGATAGCACCGCTAACATCATAAAACTCCATTATATTCTAAAGACATTGAAAAAAACAAATCCCAGAAATATCTTAATCCTGCTCCAAACTACTCCTGTGACTCTGGAAACGCAGAATAAGATACTGAACAAACTAAAGCAAGATGGTGCGCTCTCTCCCACAACTTGTTTTTTTAAACATACAGTAGAAACATCTGCAAAACAATTTCAATTTCACTTTTTTGGAAATATATTTAGACCTAATCACCTCAGGATGCAATTTTTTTTTGCAAATCAATTACAGTTATGAACATGATTATAAGTAGGACCACATACCACTACAGTCACCGTTCAGCAGAAGAAAAGGGTTAGAACTCAGCTGCCTAAAGCTAAGTACCCACAGTCATTTTCCACACTGCGTGATATCCTTGCCCTGTGTCTGCTTCTCTAAAAGGAGATGTGTATCCCATATGTCTTCTGTCACATGTGGCAGCTTTCGATATCTGCCCCAAGTCACCCGAAGCCACCTAAAATTGCACTGTATCTGTGATTAGGCACCTGCATCAACTCCAGGAACTTTTAAATATCACCTTCTTAAGAAGTTATTTTTCACTTTTCTTAATAGAATATTGAATTCCATGGGGGTACCTGCACTGCTCCTCCTCAACAGTCTGGATAACCAACTGGATAATCAAACAGTCTGGATAACAACTGCTGTGAAGGGAGCAGTATGAGTGTAAACAGCGTGTGTGAACAGAATACCCGAGACTGTCTCAGAGGGCATTTGCTCAAAATTGATAATGTTAAAGAGGAAGATGACCATCAACCAGATTGAATAGTAACTGTAAAATTAGGGACTTGAATTAAAAAAGTAGTCAGCTTGAAAATTACTATAAAAGAAGCAAGAAAACTCCTAAAAGCGGGGGCAGAGTTATAATGCAGCACTCATAACCTAGTTTAGCTTCCAAAGTTTCCCCACTGTCCCTGCATCCTCTGCGCAGATGTAAGTGCTTCCTCACTGCTGAACACCACAAGCCTCAGCACTTCAGCTAATGGACTGGTGGTATCAAGTGCAACAAGTAGGGACTTACACCTTCGGTGTGTGTACGTGACCTCCTGGGGTGATTTCTCACCAGTGCAGATTAGCAGACTGCAGGGAGGTGCAAGGGTATCCATCACGCCAGAGCACCCCCACGGGTACACAGCACCCCAGAGCACACACCAGAGGCGTGTGTAGGCAGAGAACTTGCACTCTCAGCAAAGGGGGTGTGTGCTGGCAACCTGAAGGGGCCAAGGAGTGAATATAACTGTGTGAATGTGGATGCGTGGGATGAGAAATACTTGGGATTAATTCCTGAATGGTGCTTAGAGATTTTTAAGTCTATAGTAACGTTTTGTATGTGCCTTAATATAGTGATTTACTTTTTGTATTGTTTTTAAGGATTCTGAATGTGTACTTCACTGATTACTAGTTATTTACATTCTACTAATAAATCAATAAACCACTTCCCTTCTGATTTGATTTGAGCAGTTTTTCCCTGCAACATTTTCCCTATCTAACAAATTACAGTATTGTATTAAACCCTCTGTTCTATGTAATAAAACCTGTTTGAAAAATGAAAGCAAAAAAATTACTCACAGAATATGCCTTTATTTTTGTAGCATCCTGTTCTTTTTGCTCTTCTAGCTTTTTCTTTTCCTCTTTCATATCTTCTGATTCTTTCTGCCAGGTTTCCTTTTGACTAAAACAGTAATTAAATATTTTCATTTAGAATGATGAAAGACTTGATGATTTTCAAAACTGTAACTAAAACAGCAACCCTGAAATACTGCAAACCAAGATACTTATTTTTAACAGTAACATAATTTGAAAAACATATTACAAATTGTAGATGGATTACTGAAAAACTATCACCTGTTTAGGCTGCAGCTGGTATAATGGTGAAAATAATTCTTAAGTTAAAGTATCATCTCTTCTTCACCTGTGTACTGTAGTGCAGAGACATAGATGTCTTACTCTCCAAAAATATACACACGTGGGATTTAATCTGCTTTAAACTACACATTTGTCTTTCAAATTGATTACTTTCTTGCATATATCTTTGCAAAAATAGGCAAAGTTTAAAACTTCACAAATAAAAACATTTCCACTTTAAGTACGTCTCTGGAAACTCCAAGTCTCCCCTTCTATAGGAAGGGAGACAAAAATCATACTACTGGCACTTAACATGCTGTAAGCCCAGAAATGGGCTTTACCTTTTTAAAGCAGACTAAGCCCATCAGATTTCAGCAGGTATTCGCAATTGCTCCCAATAATTTAGCTGATAAGATTGAAGCTAGATAAAATAGTTTGGCAAATAATCAATGACTCTTTCCATAACTGCCTCCTTTGCGTGAAGCACCTGGGCGTTCATTAGCTAAGACAGACAACTTGCCAGGGGAACAAGGCTTCTGCAGCTCCTGAGAGACAGAATATCTAAGTTGATTTTGAAGCATTTTTAATTAATCATACAGAATGGTACAGTATCATAAGGAAAAGATTACTCGCTTGTGCTCTGAGAATTCCCCACAGCATAGTAGTTGGCTTTTTCTTTAAAAGATGTTGGTTCAAATTTCCCTCAGGAAGTGGACAGAATTAAACTTAGGCTTCCTACATCCAAATTCTGCATTAAAGGTCAGACTTCAAAACAAAAGGGCAGGCAATGGCTGTAGTATTAACTCAATTTTTTCAATGGTTTTGCAAATCTTTCCTTCTATTACATTCATTTTATTTCAGATGCATAAAGGACATAGTTTCTCACCCTAGTTTTTTCTATTTCAAAGAAAAAAAAACCCACATAAAAAGATTCAGCTTTGCTTTGGCCCAAACTACTCTCCCCAATCCACTTCTACTTATTTATTTGAAACAAAAAAGACTATGAACTGTGTAGATATGTCTAACAAGGATGTTCCTATAGACTCTATAGGATAGTTTAGGCTAGTTTAAACAAATAATCAAGGGTATTTCAGAAATAGTATTTCCTCTTCAAAGAAGATGCCTTAGTTTCTTCCATAATGGAATGAAATGGAAGAAAAGGGAAAAAAGATGCTCTGAAAGTGAGGCTTTATGGGATACCAAGTCAAAGAATCTCCTCCCCTAACTTCAATCTGTAACAGGTTTGGAGAAGGAGCCTTGAATCATCATCTTATCCCTGTCACTGCAGATATCTAATCTAGTAGTAAATGAGGCAGTATACTACCGCCCTTGATATTTTCAAAAAGCTACGGCTTTAATGCCTCAAACAGAGATAATGTTACCCCGGGAAGTGTCAACTGAGTCAAACAACAAACAGATGGTCCTAAAAGATAAAACATGCTTACTCCAAAAGCCTTTCAGTGACTGCTCATTCCAATTCAAAGACAGAGTGGACACAACTAACACCATATTCATCTCTGTGCTCCTAACAGATAAAAATCTTTTTTTTGACCATAAGAAAAATTTTATAGAAATTAGATTCAATGAAGCAGTGAATTAGATTCAATGAAGAGTGTGAAAGAAAACCAAGTACGAAGTCCTGAAAATCTGTAATTTTGAAACAGAGATCTCTGCCTGTATTCGGATAAGTTTTCTTTTTTCCCCTCTAAGAAAAACTGTTAGGACCCATAATTGAAAGCAAAAGAAAATGAGACTAAAGAGTCCATAATATCAAGTTCTAATAAAATACAAGATATCAGATGCAGAACACACTATGCAATCCTCATGAGGAAGTATACAATATGAAAGGGGTCCAGCAGAAAATGTTTTTGTAACGAGTTTTCTGAATCTTTACAGGACTAAAGAAAATATATGGAGTTCGTATCCAAGTGCAGAAGCATTTATGACATTAACTAAAGAACTACTTCGACACAGCAGCAAATCTTGTATTCAGAATTATTAAACATTTAGATAGTTGAACTTTTGTAATTCAAAAAAGAGAACAATACCTTTGATATTCTTTATACAGCAAGCCTTGCTGATGACGAATTACTGCAAATTTTCGCTTGTAGTCCTCTACTGCATCTTCTAATTTTTTAAGTAACTGTTCTTTATTTTCCAGTTCCTAATGAGTATTTTCCAAACAAAAACATTGAAGTGATTAATAGAGGTTTTAAACATGAAAGAATTAATCAAAATGCCAGTTCTCCCTTTTGTTTTCGTGATAGATGCTTCCATCACCAACTCTGTGAATTCCAGGTATGAAATGTGCGGTTTTTTTTTAGAAGCAACAGATGAAAAAAAGTCCAATAAACTTTGGTGTTCATATTAATAGGTGTGAAAGAGTGCATATTTGCACTGTGGATTACAGCCCTCAAAGTTCAAAACACCATGACATCTTGCTAGCCCACGAAGAATACTAATTGAAGGTCTAACTGGAAAGTGTTTTATTCTCATTTTCCCAAAAACTCTTCTACTTTATTATCATATACAGTTGAAAAATATTTTCTAATCAACAAAAGAAAAGTGATCAAAGACAGAACAAAATAATGTAATAAAAAGATACATTCTCTTTACTCCAATTCTCGAAAGAGTCAATTCTTCACTATGTGCTTGTCTGCTATGCTTCCAATGGGAATCACTGGATTTGGTTTCAATGTATTTATGCTTCTTTTTACAAATGTTGATGTATTTTTGAGAAATAATGGAAGGAGAATTCATATGGTAAATAAATAGAGACTTTTGCTGTACAGAGAAAACTGTCCAGAGTAAGATCTGCACATGCAGACTCAGGTGTGGAATCCAGACAGCAGTAAGAGAGAATTTCTTATTGAAATTGAGTGCAACTGCAGAAGTAGAAGGAAGAGTGGGCAAATATTTAGATCAAAGTTCAGCTTTAAAACAAAAAAACCCTGAATTGTTGTCCAAAATTCAATTAAGCATTACCTTCCAGGTTAACAACACAGCACTTAGAGTTTAAAAAAAAACAGAACAGCTTGAAGAGTTCACTGGATGTCAGAACTTCAAAATAACTTTGGGGAGTTCTCTCATGTCTATACATGGCATGGTACTAGATTTTGGAGGAATTAGCTGTATTTTACAAATATTCTTGATATCAATGAGTGAATGAGTTACCTGTATAAGATGTATTAAATATTCATTCAGAGAATTAATCATATTAACACTTGAAGGAACCATTCCTTCTGGAAGATTCACTGTTTGGAAGACAATATTGCCACCTTCTGTCTGATGTAATAAGCAGATCTCATTTTTCAGTTGTGCAATCTAAAGAAAAGAAACAAAAACATAAGGAAGTAGCTCTTGATATTCAATTAAAAAAAAACCAAACTGATGGAAAATAGAGCTTTCCTCTGCTGTATCAGTTGTTATTAACAACCTAATTCACTTCCACTTACGTTCTAAAGCATTCAAACACACTTTAAAGTAATTTAAAGTAACTTTTTAAAAACATTGTGATTCCATAAATCATTAAATGTATATTATCTTAAACCAAATTTATCAAATGACTTTAGCAATCAGGGCAGCTTCATATATCTGAGGATTCACCACAGTTTTACTCCAAATTTGTTTAAAACACAGTGCATTTCCATTCCTTTTAAAAAGATGAAGTTTTGGAAAGAATTATTGCAGTGGTTATTGATGGTTTATTCTAAAAAAATCTTTGCCTTTTCATTTAACTTCTTAAAAGCTCTCTGGTTCTCTAACAGTACATTAACCACTACTCTAGAATACTAGTTACTGGCAAATCTTTTTACATCACCAAAACTGTTCTAAAAGGCAGATTTAAATCTAGCTTCTTGCAAGGTAATATTCCATTCCCTATTCCTGCTCTGGAAGAAGCATTCCACAGAATCAACTGTACAACTGAAAACAAGATATAGGACTTTAGATAATGATTTATCATAACTTAATGTCTACTAACTTATTTACAGATAACAAATACAAGGCTTGTGTTTTTTTGAGGAAAGAAATCTGTAAGTTTTTCTGGGCACAGCCCTCTGGAAAAGATACCCATGCTTGGTGTTTAACATGATAGGATATTCCAAGGATAAAGTAACATCTAGAAGAGAAAGATTTGAACTTAATCCAATAGACAAATTTCATTAAGATATGTATAATTATGCTGTTCACATAAGCTAAATTCAGTATCTCACAGATTGTGTGGTTTTGTTCTAAATTATCAGACCAATCACATTTCAAGTACAAAATAAATTGTATAAAATAAATTTTATACCTTTTCATTTGCACTTGCCAGTTGATTAGAGAAATTTGTTGCCTCCTTCTGAGTCTGTCTGAGTTCCTGTCTTAATTCTTCATTTCGTCCTGTAAGTTGGTCAACCTGAGCTTTCAAGTGCACACTAGCATCAAAAATTCCCTCTGAATTCTTTGACTCCATTGCCTAATGCAACAATTAATTTAATTAACAAACATTTAATTAACAAACCAAACAGAAAGTGCAGAAAAGCTTTGTTTTTTCATAATAAACTGGAGTGGTCAAGTTTAGACTACATGAATTCAGCAAAAAGCATGAAACTGTAACACTTTAAAATCTACTTATCGGTTTTCTGTTAGTATATTTGCCATGGACTGTGATTTAAATTGTTAAATTTTTCTGTAAAAACACTAATTTTTTTTAAAACGTTTCCTGCAGGTCCCATAGAGATAAAAGACATGCAAATGAACTTTTGCCTAAGCTTTACGCCTAGGACAATAAACTTGCCTAAGACAGTTTTATACTATCCAGCTGAAGATTTATTTTTTATTTATTTTTATTGGCAATCTCTTCTTGCTGTATATTTTTAATTTGCATTTTTAAAGAAGTATCACACTACATACTCATACTTGTAACTAAGGAAGAACATGTACAAGGAAGCTACTATGTAATTATACAATAACCCAATAATTAAGGAGGAGAAAAAAAGCATGTCCAGCTTACAAAGTTAAATAATACCTTAGAAAACAAGCTTACATTAACTAAACGATCCAGACTAGGGATTATTAAGGCTGTTTCTCCTCCCTTCACATTAGGATCCTTCTGCATTTCCTTCACAGCTTGCAATATTTCTTTCATTCCCTGCTTAAGTTGCTTATTCTCTTCTGATAATTCTTTTACTGTAATAAAAATTGTAAATGTGTCTAAAAGCAATGAAAAAATGAGTTGAGGTTTCCTAAGACATTTCATCATAACACTCATTGATTTGATACACAAAAAGAATATTCACATTATATATAGACATAATCAATCAGGAAGTTAAAAGCAGAGCTGCTAGGAACATCTGAAGAGTGTGTTTTGCTGGAGAAATACCAACAAAACAATAATGAAATGCTTCATAGGAACACATTTGACTTTATTGAACCTTCTTGTCTTCAGTGTTTCCTGCCATTTTTTCACTTCTTTAGTAGCCTGTCTAACCAGCTTTCACAAATCCAGAAACGTGGCTACCTTGGAAATGTCTGGGTGTACCAATGAAGTATATAGGAATTGCCTGAATTCTTGCTGCAGACGGAAGAAAGAACACTTAAATTATTTGACTGTAATAAGGACTCTCAAGACATACAATTTTCCTTCCACCATTAGTTTGCCAATGGATTTCCAGAGTTTCCAGCTCAGAGGAAGAAGCCTGAAAACTTTAAGAAAAACCAACAAACCTGTCAGGACGTTCTCTGCATCTTAACAATATGGCTAACTCTCCTGAAGATGCAGGAGTGAACTGCAAAATTTGGAGCAGTTTGAGCAATTTCAACAAGTCTATTTTGAAAAGTCAAAAAGAATTTTTATAATTCACATTCTCTGTGGAAAAAAAAAATAAGATTCTGTCTAGAGAATCAGCACTATTTTTATTTCAGAGTTGGCAAGCAGTGCACTTCAGCTAACATACCTATATATGTAAGCAGCAAGCGGATTTAATTTCCCAACACTTCCTTGGAGCCAGGAAAACACTACAATTACACAAGTAAATTGCATATTTGGGATCACTCACAGACTTAAAGCCCTTATTAGGTCTGATTCAGGAAAGAGAAACATGAGAGATCCTAGTTTTAAGTATTTCCTATGAAGAAATTATGTTTCATGTACTATCACCCATTTAAGTTTAATATTAGCTACACTATATACGTATTTATACACATGCACACAAAGATATACACTACTATAAACAATTTTTTTTAAAAAAAAAGTCATTAATGAGAATTCAAAGAAATTCCATTTCGAGAAATCCCATTTACATTCATTGTTTTGTAACCATTGTGTTCAAATCTGGACCAATTCACAACCATAATTTCCACAGTTCAGAATTATATCAGAATGATTGTTTAATAACCTGCTACGTACACAGCAAATTCAAGCATAGTGAAAGATACCTGCTGTGACTTAACCCAGGTGGGCACTAAACACCACGCCAGCCACTCGATCACCCTCCCCCATCCCTGGGAGATGGGAAGGAGAATTAAAGGGGAAAAGAGAAGGAGACTCATGGGTTGAGATAAGAACAATCTAATAATTAAAATAAAATAAATTTTAAAGTAAAAATGTTAAAATAATAATATATAATATATTAAAATGACAATAAAATAAACAAACAAGTGATGCATAGTGTGATTGCTCATCGCCCATTGACCAATGCCCAGCCTGGCTCCACTAGTGATCCTGAAACCAAGAAGTTCCGAAACCACAATCCCAGAGGAGTGAGAGCCTCACAGATTGATTTGAAGAGCAATCTAAAGAGCGAGGGAGAGAGCTTCCCAGCCAACCCTCATCAATATACTGAGCATGATGTTGCATGACAGGCCTGTCAGTTTGACCTCGGTGACG